TACCTGATGGGCCAGAAACGATAGGCAATACTTGCAAGAAGTTTTGCATTGAAGAGAAATAAAAAAGCTGAAGTCAAAGGACAACGGTTTTTAACTATAAGAAAGAAAATATCAAAATCAACAAACAACTATGAACCAGAGACATTGTATGGGGGGTTGGGGGGCGGGGAAAGGAGGGATTGGGGTCAAAATAAGTGGGTTGTAATTGTATGGGGAATATAAAAATAAAATTTAAATAAAAAAAACAAAGTACTTGACCTCAGGAATCTTTTGAATAAATATTTCCTTTCCTATTTAAAATTAAATCTCTCTCTCTGACAAGGCTTTTCAAACTCTTCTTCCAGGATACCCTTAAGAGCAGGGGGAAAAAAACCCTATAACTTGAAGTCATTAATTTCTCTTGGTAAAACTTGTTTGAAGTTTCATATTTTATCTTTAAATGAATGCAAATTTTGGACATAATAAATTTTCATTTAAATGTAAAAGGATTTTAAATTATTTACCACTGAGAATAATTGATGCTTCAGAATGTGGACTTTGTATATATACCTTGACACACCATGTCGGGTATCTTAGGTCTTTAAGCAGCAATGTTTTTGGAACTGAAATATTAACTCCTTTAATTAAGCTATTTTCATTAACACCTTTAAAGTGCAACAGTTTAAGTAACCCAGTGTTTACTTACATGTATTTATGATTGTTTTATTTAAGTATATATATTAGCATTAAACTAATTCTAATTTCATGGTGCTTAGCATTTAAAGAACTCTAAAACCATAGCAAATCTATAAATATAAATTACACTAAGAAATTACAGCAATATTTAAAAACCAAGTTAATACTAATTTACCATGGAGGATGATTGTGTTTTATTAGGAATCCCCACTCACTACGTTAATACAGTGAATATAACATAAACACACCTGGGTTCAAATCCCACCTTAGCATTTATTCACTCTATGTTATTGGGGAAATAACTTAATTCCTTTTCTGTAAATTAGGGATAATAATACATATCTTATAGAGCTATTGAGAAGATTAATTATAGCTCTTTGTGGACATTCCTGATATATGGTTAAGTTTGGTAAAATGGTGGCTGTTATTACTGACTGCTTTGACAATGACTTTAATTTCGGAGTAACCTCTATTCTGAGATCTGTGACAAGTCTGTTCTCTTGCTGCCCTTTATTTGAACTACAGTAAAACATTTGCTTTTAGAATGTGATGTGGTGCTCATTTGGCCTTCACTCATCAAACATCACTTATGTATGAAATTCTGGACACAGAGACCTGTGTGGCACTGGTTTGATGATAGTCACAACCATTGGAACTCTTGGAGTTCCATAATAATACAAAGATTATAAATGGATTATTATAATTTTAGATTTTAAAGCAAATTTTAAATTACTGGTATAAAAACATTAAAAACTTTTCCAGAGTAATTATAGGCCCCTGAAAATATGTCTTCCCTGGGCATCTGCAAACCCGTTTTGAGTAACATTCTGAAGAGTAATATCTTCCTGAATCGCTTTGGGTTAGATTACATATCCTTTGAGCTCTGAATTTCTTTACAGATCATAAACTACTTATATTTAGTGCAAGTTAGGAGAGAGGCCAGTCTAATAGGATTTTTTACTTGGCAATAATTTTAATGCTATGCATAGAAGTTATAGTTTGAATGCTTTTAAGTGTGGCGTATTTATCCTCTAGACTCCTCTGGGTATATAGTGGTGGTGGTATCAAATTTCTTTAGGAGCTATTTCAGTACTTTTGTTTTCTTATAAGGAGACAGTAGAAAACCACTTTCCTTTTTCTAGGCTTTTCTTCTTTGCTTGTCATTCACTCCAGTTGTGTTATATGGTTGCTACATTTGAGAATTGCCCTCTATTACTTTCTACTCTTTCAATAATACGCTTTTTCTTTTCTCTACATTTATAGAATGGATGATATTAAATAAATCAATATTGAATAAATTATGGCAGTGGGAGTTTGTTCATTTTTAATTTGTATTGCAGGCTTTAGTGTATCTTAGAAATCAGAATCCATAGCCATAATAAGGGTCTTAATTTACTGTGGACTCCAAGGCTGGCTGTCCACTTTGAATTATAGAACTATGTCTATATAGTGTATCTCTCTCTCTCTCTCTCTCTCTCTCTCTCTCTCTATATATATATATATATATATATATATATGTATATGTATGTATCTTTCTCTAAACTACAGGGAAATTAGTTTACCTTTATTAACCTTTATGATATAATCTGTTGAGATTCTTTTTTTTTTCCTGGTCAAGGTTTTTAGGAATTCCTTAGTTGTACAGTTACCTTATCCCCCTACACATTAAAAACTAATTCTGTGAAATTCCTTGCATTCCTTATAATAGCCTTTCATACTGCTGATATTCCTAAATTTTCAGCTCATCCCTTCTGTTTTCCCAACCTTTCGTCTCTTTCCTTTTACTTTTTTCAAATTTTTATTTGAAATTCCTATTCCTGCTTATCACTGTACAAGCTGCTTTGGCTGTGGTGCATAAAACTTTGTTCAGTTGGATTCCTTTTTTTTTAGTTACTTCACATACATATCAATATATATCTAGTAAAAACTGACTAATTCGAACTGTACAAAGTTCTGCACTGAGTCTACCTGTTTGAATCACTATAAGATTCAGTTAAGTGTTTTTAAATGCATATTTATTTCAAGAACTGTATACCTATGTAAAACATGTCGGATCTAACTAGATATTATAAAAAGAGTTGGTAATTCGTGAAATTCTTACAGTTTGATATCATATTATCCACACATGTAAGTCATAAGTCTTAGTATTATTTATGCTTTATTTAAATGATCACTATATATCTTCCAAAGAGTAATGTTTTACTTTAATTATGGACAGTGCTGAGCTAGCAACATGACATGTTCACCAGCAAACTAGAAAGATAGATTTAATGTAATAAATTGGAGGACCAACTTTGGGAAAAAAATAGCAGTATTTTCTGAGTCTGAGTTTCTTTTTTAGTTAATAAAATGAATTAAGGGGCCTTCCCGGTGGCGCAGCAGTTGAGTGCTGGGCTGCGAAGCTGCCGGTTTGATCCCCGGCCCCTGGGCGAGGGTCCCACATGGCGTGCAGACCTCTCCTGCCGCCCGCTGCTCCCCTCAGCAGTGTTCGGTCCTTCTGCCTGTTCTGCTCCCTGCTCTGGCTCTGGTGGATTCTCTCACCCTCCCACGCTTCTGACTGTACCCAGTGCTTGTATAAATAAATAAATAAATCTTAAAAAAAAAATAAAATGAATTAAGTACATTTGTGCTCACTTACAGCTACAGTATTTCTCAGAAAAGTTTATCTTTACTTTTCAAAACTCCCTTGTTCTTCTTAAAAGCATTTATGTTTTACAAATTCTTAGTTCCCAAAGTTTTTATTAGGGCGTGATTACATACAGTCCATGTGACTGACCTTTAGTCTCCCAGTTCTTCTAGAGGCAGAACTGCTAATCACATAAACCCAGAGCCCTTCAGGCAAAGACACTTTTGTAAGGTATGACATTCCAAAGACCTATAGATCACCTGCCTCCCAGTAGCTGAGGATAAAACCAGACCTCTCTTTGGGTAAGATTAATTCCTCACTATACAGTTTACCATCTGCAAATTTATTAACATTTTTGGTGATTGTATCACTTTACATGAGTCTATATTGTAAGAATATATGGAAGCTTTCTGTAAGAACGTTTACCTTTCTGTTAAATGAAATAGTAAGGTTTCATTATTTCTATCATAAATGTGTCTGTCTTCCTTTTGTCTTTCTTATTTACCAAACCCTGCCCTGCCCTATTCCATTTTAAGATAATTGCTGTTAAAGAGCCCTTAATATAAGATCCCTTATGTTTCACTGGTTATTTTTGATGAATAAAAACAATTTATGGCTTATTTTCCTCACTTTATAGATTTTGATCTACTAGACACTTTTAAAATATATTATTTTTTAAAGATTTATTTATGCATATAAGAACTGGGGTGCAGGCCAGAGGTGTGGGGGGAGAGGGCGAGAGGATTCACCAGAGATGGAGTGGGGAGCAGAACAGACAGACAGACTGAAAATACACTGCAGAGAGAGCAGCTGGCAAGTCAGGAAAGGTCTGCTGTGCCATGTAGGTCACCTCCCTCGCCGGGGATCAAACTCGTGCTATAGTGGCTCTAGATAGCTTCATAGAGCTGACACTAAACCACTTGTGCCACCAAGTAGGCCCCTACTAGACACTTGCAAACCTGTCAGGCTTAATCTAGTCTTACAGTGTGAGGAATATTTTAATTTTTCCAGGTAGGAAACTGAGCCATAAAATTATTTTTTCAAGAGCCTCCCTGGTGGCGCAAGGGATTAAGCACCACACTATGAAGCACTCCACAGCCTCTGCAGCACAAGTTCGATCCCCGGCCGGCCAGGGAGGAACCCACATGACAAGGCAGACCTCTCCTGTCTCGCCTGCTGCTCCCCTCAGCAGTGTATTTCAGTCAATCTGCCTGTTCTGTTCCCCACTCTCTTTTTGGTGGATCCTCTCACCCCCCACATCTCTGGCCTATATCTCAGCTCTTATATGCATAAATAAATAAATCTTGTATGCATAAATAAATCTTGTATGCATAAATAAATATTAAATTAACAATTCTTAAAAAAATTATTTTTTCAAGACCAAATAAAGGGTTAATTTTCTATCCTACCTAAATACTGCGAGTGGAGTGCTTAGTTGCTGAAACCGAATTTGTCATGTTCAAACCTCAAAAATTTTATGATTATCAGGTACTTGAAACAAAGGTCTTATGTATATAACAAAAATAAGGTGCATGTAGAAAGGGTAAATTTTGTTGTAGCTATGTTTTGGTATAATTCATTAATTTAGTATTCTGCTGTAGCATAATATATTAAATGCTACTTTGAATAGAAATAGTTAAATTTGTACACTAATCTTACTCTTTCCTCATTATTGTTACATTCTGCATTGCTGTCTTAGGATGTCAACCATGGATTAACAGAGGTAAGTTTGGTGTAATAAAGTATGTTAAAAGTAAAATATATTCCATATTGTCTTAAGTGATAGGAAAACCAAAGGTTTCTCTTTTATGTAACTTGAAAAATATGAATACGTATGATCACTTTTAAAATGAGTAAGTAGATTGTTGTGTATAACATTTCAGAGGAATTTTCCGAAGAAAAAATTTTTTTAGTTAACTTTATACCTGTATGATGCCTTTCAACAATATTTGTTTTAAAATAGTTCCTATCCTCCTATGTTTCCCACTATAAAATTTTAATGTGTTATCAGAATATAAAACAGCAGATTTTAAAACCCTGTCAGTATGATGACCTTCCTCACTTTTTCACATGTAGTATCTATTAAGTTCTAGCACTTTGGCTTACATAATCAATAACTCTAAACCATCTTTTCAATCCATGGCAGTATTATACTACTACTTTTACTCATTTATAGAATTTTGGTTTCGTTGTTTTGCTTTTCTTTGCTTTTTCCCCAGCACTTGAACCAACAAGGCCTGCAGAGTTAGCTTTAAATTATAGAGCTAACATTTTTGCTTCCTCAAATATAAGCAGCACATAAAATTCTAAAATCATAGAGTTTTTGGAAATATAGGAGTCTTCAGAAATATTTCAGTCTATTTGAGTTTTAGTAGTAAAATGATTTATGCCATCAATAGCTAGCTGGAAACTCTATTACTTTCAGGGTGACTAGAAAACTGGGAATGTTTGTTGTGAAAAAATAACTCTTGAGAACATAGTAACTTAATATATTTAAACCATGTATATTCCCCTGCCCAGGCTAAATGAAGACTGAAATACAGAATGAAGTAATGCATAGTGATGTATAAAGATGCAGATTCAGAATGTAGAGAACTCCTAAGTCCTTAAAAAGGAGAGTTGTTTCATGTTTTGAGTCTGCACTGAAGGCCTTAATGCAGGGGTTCTGTATCAGGGTTGGCACAAAATTATTGCATGACTGGCATAAAAGCATTAATCTTTGTTGGGTATATGGTCGGAATATATCCTCTAATTGTGAGACTCTGCCTGGCAATTCATAGCTTTTTGTATCTTCTGCACTGTTACTTGGCACTCTTATCACTGCATTACCTGCTTAGATAAACAGTTGTCTGTAAGGTGACTAATGACCAGTAATGGTAATAAAAAAGAAGTTTTACCACCTTAAAAATTAGACAGAGAGTATTATCAATGGTGCTTATTTTGTATGACAAATTAATGAACATATTGTTGAGCTCATAATGTTGGCACCTTAGTGGTGTGCAGTATTTCTTGAATGAATGAATAAACATATTACTTATTTTAGGCCTCAGTTGATAGTTTTAAAAACATAAAAAAATTGGGCACTGAATGTGATGTAGGATTCCCCAATTTTACAATAAAGTTGTAACATAAATCATTGTAACTTAGAATTAATATGTGCTAGACAAAATATACTTGGAAGTTACAATTTCATGGGCTCTCAAATACACAATTCCCTCCCAAATTGGAAATTGGGATTGTCAATGCCTGGTCAGATTATTAGTAAAAATTCTATATTTAGAAATAAGCACAGTGTTTATAAATAATACCTGGAATAAATACACAAATGTGTAAACCGAAAGTGATGAACCTTAAAAGAAATGATAGTACATACAAGAAATATATCACAAACCAATTTGAACTAATGAATTTTTTTATTTTCAGTTGGCAGATATCCCTGTTACAATCTGTACATATCCATTTGTATTTGATGCCCAAGCAAAAACTACTCTATTACAAACAGATGCAGTCTTACAAATGCAGGTAAACTATTGTATAAACTAATCTGATTTTAGAGTATTTAGTTGTTGCTTTGATGTTTTAAGAAGTAAATATTTGAAACTTGCTTATATTTAGTAATCTTGGGGTGTATTTTATACCTTTGTGTTCTGTCTTGCAAAATACATCTGTCACCTATCAAAAAGACTGTTGTATATAACATGAAAATTCTTATGAGGTCTACTTATATATATTTGAATGAAAATGGAATAATTTAACTTTTCATCAGTTTATATCTAAAAGTTATTCAAACCTGTTTCATTACATAAATATACTTTCTTTATAAATAGTTATGCTAGTTTACTTGATAAAATGTTTATTTGCTTCAAATCTTTTTTTTTCTTTCTCACTAGAGGTTTTTTTTTCCTGAACTTACAAATAACATTTACCTTTGTGCTTATTTTTTTATAATTTATTTTTTAATGAAGTATCTTTTTTCTACATCCTTGTTAATTTTTGACAGTATAGGATTTCTCCCCTCAGGTTTGTGATCACCATAGTTTTCCCATCACCAAGGCACTCACAGTCCTTTACCATAGTCCCCTGTGCTCATCTTCCCACCCTTTTTCACCCCTCCTGCTCTACCTTCACCCCTGCACCCCTCCTGGATTTTCTCAGATCTATAGTCAGCTTTCAAGGTTTGTCTTTGTCTGACCTTGATTTCGTTTCTCTGTATACCACCTTCTAAGTGAAACTATCCAGATTTTATCTTTCTCCTTCTGACTTAGCATAATACCTTCCAGCACCATCCATGTTGCCACAGATGGCATGAGGTTATCTTTTTTTTGCTGAATAATATTCCATTATTATTAATAAAATTCTATTGTTTTTATTGGAAATAAAAATACCACATTTTCTTGATCCGTTTATCTGTTTGGGGCATTTAGGTTGTTTCAAATCTTGCTTCATTATGTTGTATATTCCCTATTTATATACTTGGTAAAAGATGGAAGTGACTAGCAGTGAGATGAATTAAAGTGGGAAGAATTTTACCACTTGTTAGAAGATGAATATAAAATTTTCTTGATGTTTTAATGTATATTTTCTTGAGGTTGATCATCTCTTCCCTCCTTTCTTTCCCAACCTCCTCTATTTTATGTTAAACAGTTATTTACAATGAAGATTTTAAAACTATTTAACATTTTGTCTTTGAAGGGTTAAATTGAATAGTACATTTGTTTTATAACTTGAACCTATAAATAAAAAAGGTTTTGAGTTTCTTCCTCTGACATAGAATATGTGACTATACAGGTTGAGGACTTAAGACAAGGATGAGATGAGACCTTGGAAATTTAATGTGCTAAAAATGCTTTAAAATTTAAAACTTTCCCAATTTTTAAATGCATTTGGTATTCTTTATCCATCCTGGCATTTTAATAATACTAGGGAATTTTAGAGATAGAGGTCCCTTTTACATCAATAGAAGAAATAAATATTTTTGTAGCTTCTACAGCTAATAATCCATTTTTTGGATGGTCTTTGTTAAAACAATATTAATCACCATTTTAGAATAAGTACATGATGTGGGTGAGGCCATAAGAAGAGTTTAAGTGGTGAAAGACAAATGCTTGGTTTGTGAGCACATTCAGTGATCACTCTATTAGGTGAATTTCTATAATGCCGCTTTACCCTGTCACTTATTCTCTTTATAGGTTTATTTTAATGGGATTTTCTTTTTTTCCTCACTCCCAATCCTAGTTATTTTTTATAAGTTTTATTTATTTATGCATAAAAGCACTGGGGTACAAGCCAGAGATATAGGAGTGAGAGGATTCACCAGAGACAGAGTTGGGAGCAGAACAGGTGGATCTACTGAAATACACTGCTGAGGGGAGCAGTGGCCGAGACAGGAGAGGTCTGCTGCACTGTATGGGTCACCTCCCTGGCCGGGGATCAAATTTGTGCTGTAGTAGCTGTCGAATGTTTCATAGCGCTGATGCTTAACTGTTTGCGCCACCAGGGAGGACCCCTAGTTATTTTTTGAGAAACAACAATACCCAGATTTATCATTATTATTATAGTTATGTTTACGTAATGGTGCTATTAGTTATTCATTGATATAAAAAATTCAAAAGAATATTCTTTATGCTCAGAATACAGTTAAACTCTTTATGTTATCCTAGATACTGTATTTAAGAGTTATATGAATCCAGTAATATAGGAACAATTATAGGAAATACAGAATATCTGCAGATAATAAGTACAAGTTATCCAGTCACCGTAGCTTTTTTATAGCATTGTTATTAAAATTTTTATCTTTTGTTTTCTAGATGGCTATTGACCAGGCCCACAGACAGAATGTCTCCTCTCTTTTTCTCCCAGTGATTGAATCTGTGAATCCCTGCTTAATTCTAGTGGTGCGTAGAGAAAATATTGTAGGAGATGCCATGGAAGTTCTTAGGAAAACAAAAAATATAGACTATAAAAAGCCCCTCAAGGTAATTTGACATTTTCTATTGCATAAGTTTTTTCCAGGTACTATTTTTAATGTTTTCTTATTTGGTTTTGGTATATCTTTAAAGCTGATCAATAATATTATATACTTCAATTTTTTTAACTATTAGTTCCTAAACATTTTTCCATAATAAACATGTTACAGGATATCCAGAATATATTTTTATTTTTTTACATTCATTGTTTGCATTTTGTGTTGTTTTAGGTTATATTTGTTGGAGAAGATGCTGTTGATGCAGGAGGGGTACGCAAAGAATTTTTCTTGCTCATCATGAGAGAATTACTAGATCCTAAATATGGCATGTTTAGGTATTATGAAGATTCCAGGCTCATTTGGTTTTCTGATAAGGTAAAAAGTTCAATTGTCTAAATTACTTATATGTAACACCTATGTGTGTGTGTGTGTGTGTGTGTGTGTGTGTGTGTGTATCAATATCTATATATACCAGGCCTCCCTGGTGGCATAGGGGTTAAGACGTAACCTATGAAGCTTTCTGCAGTCATTGCAGCACGAGTTCAATCCCTGGCCAGAGAGCAACCCACATGGCGCAGCAGACCTCTCCTGACTTGCCCGCTGCTCCCTTCAGCAGTGTATTTCAGTCAGTCTGCCTGTTCTGTTCCCCACTCTGTCTCTGCTGAATCCTCTTACCCCCACACTTCTGGCCTGTACCCCAGTTCTTGTATGCATAATAAATAAATCTTTTAAAATGTAGCTAGATTGTATCTTAAAAAATATCTGTATATATCAAGTTAACTCAATAAGTAGCTATTACTCAATTCCTAATACTTTAGAGATCTGCCTTACTATACTTTGACAAATTATAAACTTTTGGATTCAGAGCCATGAAAACACACATTCAACTTAGCGAAATAAATTGAGGGATGGTCAGCCTGAAAATGATGTGTTTTTGTTTTTCATATTTGTATTTAAACTTTTTAAAACTTAATGTGTTAAAAAATAACAGTAGAACAGTTTAAAGTTCTCATAAATTTCATGTCAAAAGTAAAGCTTAATTTTGCTGAGCATGATCCCTTCCAGCTCCATCCATGTTGCTGCAAATTGCATGAGTTTATCTTTTTTGACTTCTGAATAATATTCCATTGTGTATGTGTAGCACATGTTCATTTATTTTTGGGCATTTGGGTTTAGTGAAATAAGCCAGAAAGAAAAAGAAAAATACCAGATGGTCTCATTCATAGCAGGAATTTAGAAAACCTAAATAAGGGACCAGGAAAAAGACTAATTATAATAGAGTGAAAATCAAAATCAATAAGCAACTATAAACCAGACACACACTATGGGGGTTGGGGGAGAGGAAGGAGTAGGATCAAGACAAAGGGGAGTGGGAATTGCATGGGGACTATAACCAAGATGAAAATGCATACATTGTGCAGAAATGAAAAATGGGGGCCTCCCTGGTTCACAAGGGCTTAAGATGCAACCTGTGAAGCTATCCGCAGCCACTGCAGCACGAGTTCGATCCCCGGCCAGGGAGGTGACCCACAGGGTGCAGCTGACCTCTCCTGACATGCTCGCTGCTCCCCTCAGCAGTGTATTTCGGTCTGTCTCTGTTCCCCACTCTGTCTCTGGTGAATCCTCTCACCCCCCATACTTCTGGCCTGTACCCCAGTTCTTGTATGCATAAATAAATCTTTAAAAAAATGAAAAATGATGTAAAAAATATATAAAATTAAAAAAAAAAGTAAAGCTTAAATTCCTACCAAAAATGTAAAAGCTTGGATACAGATTTGGAAAATAATAAAAGTAGAATTCAATCTTACTGATTCTTGAGACACAGATTATTTATTCATAATAGATACTTACCAGTTACCTTACTCTAATGATGAAATGAAGATTATTTAGTATTCATGTGTGTGTTCTAGAGTTCAAAGAACAAGCAAAGAAACACATTCTCTAAAGTTGAAACATGCAGTTCTGAAAATATGGCAGTTTTCCTAAAATCTCCTATCCTAATTTAGCTTCCTTCTTCTTCATCTTTCTGTTCTTTTCTGCAAACAAAGGTAATCTTTTTTTATGTTAACAGTTTTGACAGATTACGCACATCAGAATTTATATAAGAAAAATACATTATCAAAAATAATAAAAAGTTAAATACTATAAGATTATATATATACATATATGCTTTTGAATAAAATTCACTACAACATCCCTATTCGCAGCAAATCTTTAAGGGTAAGGACTTTTTGATCTTTAGGTATTGGTGATTGATCATCATCCTTTCTTCACTTTCAGCTTAGAGAAGCTCTCATTGAGTGAAAGATTAGTCTATGGAGGAGAGAAAAGCCGATTACCCATTACTTGAAAGTTGAATTTCAGGTATATTCCTCTGGGCTGGTGCAGAGAAATCTTGGTCATAATATATTTAGTCTTTAGAAATAAAGCTGTAACTTGTATCATATATCTTTCATGTCCCTCATCATTTTCATTAGAGTTGAGATCATTTTTCAGTATTGTTGTTTGGTTCATGTTCATTTGATTATTGTCGGTAGCTGGAAGTATTCATCTCTCTCTCTCTCTTTTTTTTTTTTTTATTATACAATTCCTGTCAAATGCAGGCTGGATATTAGATGATCCCACTGCTTAGTATCTTTGATTTCTCCTTGATTGGTCATGAGATCTTTTTGATTCACTATGAGGCCTCTCTGCTAGGAAATGAGATCTCTCTGACAGGTAATGCTATCTTGCTGATGGAATAGGAATTCTCTCTGAATGAACATGACCACAGATTGGTCACGAGATATCACTGATTAGCCATGAGAACTTTTTGTGTGCCCATGAGAGCTCTCTGGCCATAAGATCTTTCCTAATAATTTTGATTTTCTTCCCAATTGACCCTGAGTTTCTTCCAGTTGATGCTGGTTCCACATTTATTGGTCTCTGTTTTTCTGTGCTTGAGCCTTATAGCCAGCATTGCATTTTTCCTCCTTATTTGAAGGAGTTCATCCAGGCTTAAGTCCAGAAGATTATTGGTATGGGTTTTTAACCATGGTTTCTTTCTCCACCCTTGTTTCTGCTGGTGATATCTATGAGTATTTGATTCCTGTCTTGAAACAGAGTTCTTAAGTTCTGTCTCCTGTTCTTTCTCAGTGTTTGTGTGGTCTGTCTGTTTAAGAATTCTAATGTCATCTAGAGACAGATCTAAAAAGGTGATCTTTCCTTCATTGTTAAAGTCTGTCAGCACCTTTCCAGAAAATGTTCCACTGGGAAGTGAAGCCATTTCGTGTAACTGCACACACTTGGAGCTAGTCTTGAGTAGTATTCCCTCACTACTCGCTAGAGTCTGACTTGAAACTGATGTTGATTGTTTCTTCTGCTGATAGATTTGAGAATTGAAGAATAATCACTAAACTTAGCTTTTCTTCTGGGAAGAATTAATTTTTAATTAAGGACATTGATTTTTTTCCCCCTTATTTAGAGCATGAGTTAAGTTCTTCCCAGCATGTTTTTGTAAATAAAGTCATCCTCTCTGATTTACCTATTTCTAAGATTGCTTTCTAGGTACAGTTGACAGAGGCAGAGTTGAATGTTACAACAGAGACTGTGAGGCAAAAAAACCCCGTAATATATGCTTAGCATCTGTCTCTTTACAAAAGATTGCTGCCTCCTGATTTAGAGACTATCAGTAAAATGTATGATTCAGCTTATAAAACTGCGCATTCTGTTATTTGAATATAATATTTGCATTTGTTTCTAAAAATCTTGATATACTTTTTTATTCATTCTTCCAGGAGGTTTACTGTCCTTTGTGATGTTAGCAGTCATTAATGATCAGTGCCTAGGCTTGTTAATTTATTAGAAATTACATGGTGGTGCTACTGTAACATTTCTTTCTCAGTTTAACGGGTACTTCTATATAGAGAAATTTTTCCATTTGTACTATTTTTTCAGTTTTACAATTCTTTTGGGAAAGGAACTTCTTACTTGTTTTTCAAAAGGATGACTGTTCTTTAGCATACTCAATTGATGAAAATTCATTTTTTGGTTATGTTTTCAAATATTTTATTCATGGATTTAATAACCATATTTGATGTTTTTCAATCCATTGCAATTATTATATTTTTTATTGATGTTCATATCATCCCGATTTTGTCCAGGGAGAACTCTTTAAGTTGGCACATGAGTCCTTTTAACACAACCTTGGAACTCTTTGGTATCTTCCTTGCTACCTTATATAATTGACAGGATAAAATATTCCATACTTAGACATTTACTGCCTAACAATGGGAACATTAACACTAGTATTACAATAACTAAACATACTTTAAATTCTAATTTTAATAATTTGAGAATCCCCTATTTTTCTTGGTGATTCTAAGTGAAGGCTTGTCAATCTTGTCGCTTTTTTTAAAAGATTTATTTATTTATTTATTTATTTATTTATAAATAAATAAAAGCACTGGGTACAGTCAGAACATGGGAGGGTGAGAGAATTCACCAGAGCCAGAGCGGGGAGCAGCGCAGGCAGAAGGATTGAAGTACACTGCTGAGGGGAGCAGCGGGCGGCAGGAGAGGTCTGCGTGCCATGTGGGACCCTCCTCCTCAGGCGTGGCCCAGGTGGCCGGGGAGCAGCCGGGGATCGAACCAGTGCTGCAGAGGCTGCGGGCAGCTTCGCAACCCAGAGCTCAACCGCTGCGCCACCGGGGAGGTCCCAATCTTGTTGCTTTTAAAATAATCAATTTTAGTTTTGTTGCTTCTGCATATTGTTTTTCCATTCTATAGTTCTTTCATTCCACTTTAATTCTATTGTTCCCTTCCATCTAATAGCTTTGGGTTTAGTTTGCCCTTTTTACAGTTCTCTAGAATTAAAGTTAGTTTATTTATTTGAGATATTTTTTCCTTTAACAATGTTTCTTTTCCTGTATCCCGTCAATTTTTGTATGTTGTATTTTCATTTTCATTGGCCTCTAATTTTTTGATTTCCCTTGTGATAATCTTTTTTGACCCATTAGTTTTAGGGTATTCACATGTTTGTGGATTTTTCATATTTCCTTTTGTTGTTGCTTTCTAGTTTCATTCTCTTATGATCTAGAAGATATTTTTAGTGATTTTAGCCTTTTAAAATTTTATTGAGACTAATTTTGTGACCCTTACATATGTTCTATCCTGAAAATTATTCTACAGACATGAGAAGAATGTATAGTTTCCTCTTTTTGGGTGGTGTGTTCTATATTTGTTAGTTCTAATTGGTTTATAGTATTATTCAATTCCTCTGTTTCCTTATTGATCTTCTGTTTGTTCTATCCATTACTGGAAGTGAAGTATAAAAACTTTCAATTATTATTTTAAAATTGTGTTTCTTCCTTCAATTCTGTCAGATTTTGCTTCATATATTAGGAAGGCTGTGCTGTTAGTTTGTATATGTTTGTAAATGTTACATCATTTGGTGGGTTTACACTTTTATCAATAACTCATTTGGGCATCTGGTAACAAAATAAAGTCTGTTTTGTCTGATATTAGTATAGCCCTTCTCTCTTTCAACGATTATTTGCATGGCATACCATTATGTAAGGCTTATAAATAGTATGTAATTAAATAATTTTTAAAAACCCATTCTGCTAAACTGTCTTTTGATTGTAGAATTTAATTCATTTACATTTAAAGTCATTACTGATAAGGAAGCACTTCTGTCATTTGCTATTTGTTTTCCATATGTTTTATATCTTTGCTCTTTATTCTTTCACTTTTTGTGTTTGATTTTTTCCCTTGTGTTCTGATTTCTTTCTCATTTTCCTTTTCTGAAAAGTTTTCTGTTATTTTCTTACTAGTTGCTTTGAGAGTTACAATTAAAATCTTAAATTTGTAGGAATGTACTTTGAATTAATACTAAGTCAATGTCTATAGAATACAGAAACTTTCTTCCTAGAATAGCTGTCTTGCCCTCCTTTATTTTATTATCCTCACAAGTTACAGCTTTACACATGGGTGCCCATTAATGTGGATTTATACTTTATGAATTTATTTTATGCATTTGTCTTTTCACCATATAGGGGAAAAAAGGGGGCTAACATTAAAAGTTTAATAATATTGACTGATTAATACTAATATTAACAGCATTTTGGGGGGCAGAGTGTAAGGGAAGATCTAGAAGCAACAAACTTTCTCAGTCTTTTCTTTCTTTTTTCAAAATTTTTACATCATTGTTCATTTTTAAGCAATATTTGCTTCCCCCTACCCCCTCAGGTATAGTCTTCATAGAGTTTCCTTCCCCAATGCACCCATGCACCATCACCTCAGTCCCTTGTGCTCCTCCCTCCCTCCCTCTGATCCCTCTCCCTCCTCCTCCCCTGCAGTATGTCTCTGATTTATAATTGTCTGTTTTTGCTTTGTTGTATTTTATACTGTTATTTTTTTTTTACAATGATGTCTTATTCGGTTCCCCTATATTCCTGCTGTAAGTAAAACCATCTGATATTTTCCTTTTTCCTTCTAGCTTATTTCACTGAGCATAATTCCTTCTAGTTCCATCCACATTGTTGCGAATGGCATGAGTTTATCTTTTTTGATTGCTGAATAATATTCCATTGTGTATATGTATACCACATCTTCCTTCACATCTTCCAGTCATCTCTTTTTGAGCATTTGGGTTGTTTCCAGGTTTTGCCTATTGTAAATAGTGCTGCAATAAACATAGGTGTACAGATGTTCTTTTGGATCAGTGTTTTTGCTTCCTTTGGGTAGATCCCTAGGAGTGGGATTGCTGCTCCATTTTTAGTAGATATGAATTCCGTCTTTTTTTTTCTTAATATTTTTCTGCATATAGAATTCTCTCTGTAAAGTTCTTTCATTCTGTTCTCTAAATATGTCACCCTACTGCCTTTTTATTGCACAGTTTCTGATTGGAAATCCGCTGTTAACTTTATTGATGAGATGCTTCTCTTTTGCTACTTTCAATAGTCTCTTTGAAATTGACTCTTAATATTGATAATAAGATATCTGGGTATGGATTTTGAGTTTGTCATTCTTGGAGTCTGTTGAGTGCTTGGATATTTAGTTTTTATGTGTTTTGTCAAATCTGGGATGTTTTCAATCATTTGTTCAGATGGTCTTTCCTCTTTCTCTCTTTCCTGGTACCCTTGATTGTTTCCCACAGATTCTTAGGCTCTATTCATGCTTCCTCAGTATGAATAATCTCAATTGACCTATCTTTAGTGTACAATTCTTTTTTCTACCTGCTCCAATCTAATGAACTAGTGTATTTCATAACTCCAGGAATCCTGTTTCCTTTTCATAATTTGTTAGTTTATTATTTTAATAATATATGATGAAGAAATTTTGTTTTCTTTTAATTTACTTATGCATACAAGAACTGGGGTATAGGCCAGAGGTATTGGGGGTGAGAGGACTCACCAGAGACAGAGTGGGGAGCAGAACAGGCAGATTTAGTGAAATACACTGCTGAGGGGAGCAGCAGGCAAGACAGAAGAGGTCTGCTGTGCCATGTGTGTTAGCTCCCTGACGAGAGATTGAACTCATGCCACAGTGGCTAGCAATAGCTTGGTAGCACTGGGACTTAACCTCTAGGCAGCCAGGGAATCCCTTTTGTAACTTTGTTGATAATAATTATGTGACATTGTTTACTTGCTTTTCTTAGTTGTTTTTTCATGATTTTCTTTAGCTTTTTGAGCTACATAAAAGTTGATTGAAAGTCTTTGTGTAATAAATCCAATGTCTGGGATTTTTCAAGGACAGTGTATATTTCTTTTTTTTTTTCCCCTTGTAAAAGGTGCTTTTGTTTGACACAGCTTTTTTTTTGTTGTTGTTAGTTTGTTTCCCCTAGTATACCTTATTCCTCTAGATTTCTTTTGCTTTCTTGTTTCTTCTTTTTCCTGTGATCATTAGCTGTTTATTCACAATTTAAAATATGGCACTGAAAAACTATGTATGTACTTTGTTTGTATGGCCATACACATTTATGGTTTAAAAACTACATTCATTCACTGAGTGATTAGAGTCGAGGCTTTTTGAGGTAGAACCCTAAATATCAGCATATATATAGGTTGTTTTATCCTTTAGATTTTCAAGAAAGGTTGTAGTGCACTGGCTGTCAGTGTTTTAGTTGTATCTGAACACTGTTAAAGGGAAACTAGGATTCTCATTGTTTACTGTATACATCTTCATTTGATTACTTCTATTGTTAATGCAGTATCTTTACCATTAGCTCTCTCAGATCCCAGAACCTTCATCCTCTTCACAAAAGCAAGACTTTCCACCCAGCATCCTAATTTTATTCTCATTCTGATTGCTCTTTCACTGACTTATGTTTTACCAACTGAAATAGCTGATATATACCTCTGACTTTAGAGATATTGATTAGTACTTCCTATTCCTGAACCTGCAGCACAAACTAGCTTGTCTTTCATTGACTTTTCTCCTATAAAATGCTGTACTTAATTGTTTTACTGAATCAGTTACTAGCCATCCATCTGCCTTTTATATTTTGAAATATTAATTGCTTTAGTGTTAGAAAACACCTCCCCTATTAATCTTTTTTTTTTTTTTTTTTGATATGGGTTTGTACTGTTTTTACTCCATTATTCTCAGGATTTCAGGAGGCAGACAGATTAACACATTATTCATTCTGCCCTATTTAAGAAGGACTTTCTAAACTTAAACACAAGGTAGGACATCACAAAGGAAAAAGATTAATTTGTCTTCATCACATACAAACAATTACTTTAATATAACTGTGTACAGGGATGGATGTTAACTAGATTTAGTGTGGTGATCCTTTCCTAGTATATATACATATTGACTCATATAGATCCAAAGTTTGTATGTTACTTATATGTCAGTTATAGCTCAATATTTTTTTTCACAAAAATAACAGACTAAGATATATAACAAATGTGATGAGATATATTACCCCTAATATGTGAATAATTAAATTTCAAAGAAAACAGCCCCCCAAATATAAATGGGCCAAGTACACAAATGGCATTTCATGTGTATACATCAATCCTTAATTTTCAATATCTCTGATAGTCACAAATACATATTCAAATAAGTTGTGATTTTTTAACTCAGACAGAAATGTGTTTGTATGTGTTCAGTGTGTACATACAATGAAAATTTGGAAAAATAGTGTACCACAAATAGCAGTGTAAACTGGAATATGTGTAGAGAAAAATGATTTGGTGGTATGCTGAAATGTCCTTTGATTATGGGATAAAATTATCCATAAAAGATTGTTCATTTTATTTTGAAATTACTAGCTAGTTAGGATAACTAACATTATCAAGCTTTCATTGTATACTTCAGAAATCAGCTAACAGCAGTTCACACACATTACCCCCATTTAATCGTATCACAACCTTGTGAAATAAATACTAACCTGATCTTTGAAAATATTGATGTTAATGACTAAACCAGGTTCAGAGCTCACACATAATAAAAAAATATTTTTCTTGAATTTCCTGCAACCATATGTTACTTCTCTGAAGGTGGGGGAAAATAATGCTTTAATAATCAGGGTGAGTAGAACATGTGCACATATGGAGGAACAAAAATATAACCTGAAAATTAAAATTAAATATTAAATTTAACAAATGTTTTTAATAATCCAAATATAGCAGTATAGCTAATTTAGCAAACCATGGTGTTTTCATGTAACGTAAAGCAATCATTAAAACTCATGTTGTGGGAGAATATTTAATGACATAAAAATACTGTTACAATTAGAAAAATGAGAAAGCCATGTCAATATATTTTTAAATTATTTTTCTGAACTTGGAAATACATACAAAAATTTAAAATTATTTTTTGCTGATTGGACTACAGGTGAGGTGTTTATTCATTTTCTTTTTTATGCTTTTTCTTTATTTTCCAAATTTTGAATATAATTTTTCAAATCAGAAAAATATTCTTGGAAACATTTATTAATTTAATGGTTAGTGATGTAGAAGTGCTTACATTTTTGGGGGGAAAGCCAGCTGTGAAGTTTTATATATAGTAGTTGGTTTTTAGTTTTAAATCTTAGAACATTGAATGGAAATGTGCAAAAATGCCAGCAGTGATATTTTCCCAGGGAGAATAGAATGAGATTGAACATTTTTTTTGTTATTTATTATTCATTCTCATGAATGAAATAGACATTTTAAAATCTGAAATATTTCTATTTTCAAAATAGAAAATTCAAAATTTTCTACTACAGATATGTGTTTTTGTAATCAGAAAAGATGCAGTGTTTTAACTTGAATGGCAACGCTTCACTTTTTTCTTTTCCTTTATATTTTTAGACATTTGAAGACAGTGATTTGTTCCACTTGATTGGTGTTATCTGTGGATTAGCAATTTATAATTTTACTATTGTGGACCTCCATTTTCCTTTGGCATTGTATAAAAAACTGCTGAAAAAGAAGCCATCCCTGGATGATTTGAAAGAACTTGTGCCTGATGTTGGGAGGTTAGTTGTAAAAATTGGCAAGGGTGAAGTTTAAGGGATAGTACATGGGGAGTGAGCAGAAAACTTCCCTTTTAGAGATAATATTATTTTGTTCTTTTTGAATTAATGAAAGTTTCAAAAGCTCTTCTAATTAAGGAAAATCCATTGTTACTTAGATTCAAAAATTTCTAGTGAAAGACTTATGAGTATAAAGGCATTTGCTAAATTTTTAGTGGTTTAACATTAAACTTTGTAAATAGTAAATAATAAATTTAGGAAGAGAGTGTTTTCTGTGAGTAAATGATTTATTCGGATTTTTACTTCTGATCACTGTTATTTTTAGCTGGAATATGTAAAGTTTCTTTTTATTACATCAAATAAATGAAAGATGTATATAAATAAGGTCAAATGTTGAAAATAGTTAGCTATATGGCCTTTGTGTTCAGAGGAAGAGATAAGAACCTTATTGTGATTTTATTCTCCAACATTATTTATACATTTGCTATTGTATACTTACCTTTCTGAAACAGATATAAAAGTACATATTAATGAAAGGATTTTATCAAGAATGAGAGATACTTATTCATAATCAAAGTAGTCAAAGTACCCAATGATGTTTTACCTCAAAAGAGCATATATATTATTTTGCAGAAGTATGCAACAATTACTGGATTATCCTGAAGATGATATAGAGGAAACATTTTGTCTGAACTTTACGGTAAGATAGAAAGATGCTGGGTAGTCTAATTATTCAGCATTCCTTTTATTTAGCAGCTATACCCTTTGGTTTTTCTTTATTTTCATGGACAGAATTCTTGAAGAACCCTTTAGCTAACATTTATTGAGCATTTACTATGTGCTAGTCACAGTACTTGCATTATTTCATTTAATCCTCATAACAATCCTATCTCATAAGATTGATATTAATGTTTTTGTTTTATAGATGAAGAAAACTGAAAACAATCATGAATTAGAGATCGTTATATGAGTTCTGTGACTTCAAAGCTTTGTAATTTATCATGCTAAATATCTTTACAGTTGTAGGGCTCCTCTTATTCAAATTTTTGATTGTGAATATGCAATTACAGGAGTATTTAGAGAAGCAAAGGTTATTGTAATATGAGAATATTCATGAAAAAACTGACCACTTAAAATTAATTCCCACTCAGGCATCCCTTTCTGCTTCACACCAATATTTGTCCTCGACCATCTTGTCTTACTCACTGTTGGATATCAAACCATAATGCAAATGCAAATATATTGGAATAGTATTTGGAAAATGAAGTTGTACATCTTGTAAAAATGCTGAATTTTGTTATTTCAGGAGGGGGTGTTGAGCAACTGATTAAGTCACATGCAAAGCTACATGTCAAATAAGAATTTAGCAGAAGTAGACTAGTTGACAATTGAAGAGAAAAATCATTAAGGTTTATAAATCACTTTGTAAGGGAATAATATTTGAATATTATAAATTAGACTTTTGGGGAAAAGATAAAACTTTCAGTTTTCTTTTTCTTTTTAAAAACTATTTGTTATTGGGCCTCCCCTGTGGCGCAGTGGTTGAGCGCTGGGTTGGGAAGCTGCCCGCAGCTTCTGCAGAGCCGGTTCGATCCCCGGCTGCTCCTCAGTCACTAGAGGAGGGTCCCGCATGGCGCGCAGACTTCTCCTGCCGCCCGCTGCTCCCCTCAGCAGTGTACTTCGGTCCTTCTGCCTGCTCTGCTCCCCGCTCTGGCTCTGGTGGATTCTCTCACCCTCCCGCGCTTCTGACTGTACCCAGCGCTTGTATGAATAAATAAATCTTTAAAAAAAACCAAAACTTAAAAAAAAAAAAAAAAAACTATTTGTTATTTGTTTACTTTCCACCCCAAACACTCCTGTTTATGATCTTGTGGTCAAAATTGACAAAAGATAACATATTCTGCTATCACGCAGTTTTTCAAAAACATTATGTGCCCCCTCAAATAAGGTTATTTTTTTATCATTCAAGAATTTGCAATTGTAAGAAAATTTTGGTAGATATGATGGCTCCCCCCCCCCAAGGAAAATCTTCATTGGACTTATTCTATTTATTATGAGATTTTGGTTCCATATCAGTTATTTTTACAGCTCGATTGAAATACTGGATTCCAAGAAACTTAATCTCTAATTTATCAATTATCAAGTTTGTGAATACTTAATTTATTCAAGAACTATTGTGATTCAAACATTCCTTACCACTACTGTTAGTTTACCAGAGATTTTCAGTGAGTCTTAATTGCTTGCAGAATAACAGATTAGAATGGGTGTCAAAGACCTCGGTAGTCTGGTTTTTTGGTAACTCATTGTACGCTTCCATTTATACCAAGTTTTTTCATAGCATATGGTATTCTTTCAGACACTTCACCTTCCTGTTCTTTTAGGGCCATACATTTATTTTTAGAACTTGATATTTCTCTCATATTTACCCTTTTATTCAAATCTACGTGCTCAATCAGAAATTCTACCTTCTCCCAATTTTTCACATTCCTACTCATCCTTTCAGGTACTTTTCAGATGGCATCTCATATGACATGCACTTCATATATGACATTTTTCTTCAAGGGTTCATACTACATACTTTAATGTTTCAATTAGTAATAATTTTTCTTTTCCTCTATGTCTGATAGCATTTTGTTCATGTCTTTATTATAATTTTATAATGAGTTGTTTACATAACACATTTCTGTTCCTTTAATTAAATAAACTCCAGAGCAGGATCTATTCATGTTATCATAGTATTCTTACCATAGTTTTATAGATAACAGATAATTTAAAATATTTTAATAGAAGAGAATAATATTCCAAAAAGAGGGAATAGAAAGAAAATATGCAAAGGTGGGAATGGTAATGTTGATAGGAAAATTAACAGTCTAGTAAGGAAATGAAAAAGTTTTTGTAAACCAAATTAATATCACAGATGGAAAACCTGCCTGTGAAGCTTACAAGGCATACAAGAATAGCAGCTGTTGGGCCTCCCCTGGTTGAGAGCTTCACTGTGAAGCTGTCTGCAGCCTCTGCAGCACCGGTTCGATCCTGGCCGGCGAGGGTCCCACATGGCATGGCAGACCTCTCCTGTGGTGCCCACTGCTTCCCTCAGCAGTGTATTTCATCAGTCTGCCTGTTCTGTTCCCCGCTCTGTCTCTTGTGAATCCGCTCACCCTCCCGTGCATCTGAGCTGTACCCCAGTTCTTGTATAAATAAATAAATAAATAAATAAATCTTAAAAAAAAAAAAAAGAATATCAGTTGTTATGTGGAGAGAATGCATAATTAGTATAAGTTGAATGCATTCTGACTTGAATTCTCTCTTTTACCTCAGGAGAACATCCTTTCTGATATTTTACTACAATAATGAACTCCTGTAAAGTTTTATGCATCATAAATACTCAGTTTCCTGTTCTTACGTTAACAAAATATTTAGTGATTTGTAATTATTTGTTTAGTTGGTAAAGATAGAATTTCAAACTATTAGAGAGGGTAAAAATTTCTAGTTGTGGCTCTATGCAGAATTCACAAAAAAAGCTTATGGTAGCCAAATTTTGCTTCAAATTTATTAGTTCTTATAGTTAATGAAAGGTAGAATATAATAATAGGATATTAAAATAATAAGTTTTGAGTCTGACATTGACTTTTTTTAAAAATTTAAATTAATAGATCACAGTTGAAAACTTTGGTGCAACAGAAGTGAAAGAGCTGGTTCTAAATGGTGCAGACACAGCTGTTAACAAACAAAATCGGTAAGTGAATTATAGCAGCATCAGTGGCAGTAATAAGATTCAGTAAACATTTTCTTAATTCTTTACAAACATGTCACATGTCACAATCTTATGTTTTTACTCAGATAAAACTTTTTGAGTGGATAGTGAGGAAGTAATCTGCCCTTTGCTTCTGAAATCCCTTTAAGACATTAATAAAAGGATAAAAGATCATAAAAAGAATAGAGAGGGGAAATGATACAACAGCAAACACATTTTGGAAGCTAGTAAACAGCAGTAGCCAATCAGAGAATGCTGACATAAGGCAGCAAGTTTCTAATGCAGAACAAAGGCTCAGGCATTGGCAATAAAAAATATATCAGAAAATGTATGGGGTTTAGTGGAATGTAGAAACAGAAACATTGGCTGTTACCAGAAGCAGTGAGAAATCCATTTTCCTTAGCATTTCCATAGCCTGACAGTATACTCTCTTCAGCCTGAGCTCATGATTGAAATCTACCTTCAGCAAGATAGAACTAAAAGGACTGTGGACTTCAGGACAGTTAGGCAAAGCCAGAGCTGAGGGCTGAACTAGAAAGAGGGAGATTGAAAGTCTGCATCTTCCTCTTTCTTGACAATATATTGGAAGAAAGTGTCTAATTTTAAAATGTGAATGGATAGCCAAAGGTGAATAGACATTTAAGAAAAGATCAAAGGAGTCAAAAAGAATATCAAGGAAACAGAAACAATGAAGGATAATGAACAGAACTTTAATAGAAACTGAAATCAGTACCCTCAAAATGGTATAAGAATGGCATCCATATGAGTATTGCTAAGAATTGAAAAAAAAAAAAAGAAAAATAATGGTATGAATGAAATTTGACAAAGAAACATACCAAAAACTTTGCAGAACTAAATGGCATGCATTTGAAGATTGAAAGCATGGCAAGTGAAAAAAATATGCCAAGGCAAAATACATGAAATTTCAAAATCTGGAAGAAAAAATGATACTAAGTAAAAATATACATTAAAATACACACACATGAAGAACTAAGAATCAGAATAACGTCAGACTTTTAAAGAATGACACTGAAGCTAGGAGATTAAAATTCTGGGAGAAAATAATTTTTAACATAGAATTCTATATCAAATCAATCAAGTATGTGGGTGTATAAAAACATTTTCATATTTGCAGAATCTCAGAGAATTTATTTCCAATGCATTTTTCTCAGTAAGTTACTAAAAGATGTATTCTAACAAAATAAGAAATAAAACCAAGAAAAAGGGAGACATGAAATTAAAAAAAAAAAGCCAGTATAGGAGAGAGGCAAGGTGAATTTCTTCTGTAGGAACAGCAATGTGAAAATTTTGAAAGAATAATTTGGGTTAGATCAAGAAGATGGAGGACTCTAGGAGGATTGTCTCCAGGAGAAAAATGCAACTGATGCTACCTAGAATATTTGAATGAATCTCGAACTTGATGTTTCTGTTGGAGAAGTTGTAGATGAAGTAGCAATCTAAGGGAAACAAAAGTTCTTAAGAAAAGAAAGGTGACTATAGAATGCTTAATTTGCAGATGTTACTTATAACCATAAAAATGTTAATAATTAATACTGAACCAGAAATCATTAATAATGTGAGCCTTTGGGGGAGGCAAAGTGAGAGTGGGGCAGTTAAAATCCTCACCTCTCACTGTAGACACTCAGTTCATTTGACAATAATTAAAACTGAAAGTAGCAAAAAACAGTGAACAAATAGTTGCCTTCAGATAGTGGAAATTTCTGGTGGAAAGATGCAGACAGAACTGCATTGTTCTTTTCTATTATGTTGTAATTCTTTAAACAAATTTTACTTAATAGCTGTTGCCAGGGACTTGATCCAGGTAATTATAAACTTGATTCTACTACTTAGGAGGTGTGTAGCTGTAGGTAAATTAATTGATATCTTCATGCCTCAGTTTCCTTTTCTGTAAAGTAGGATAATATGTACTTACTCCTGGGGTTATTTTGAGGATTAAATAAGGCGAAAATTTTAAGGTGGTTAGAATAGTATCTAGCACATGTACGTGCTCAGTAAATGCTGGCTGTTAGCACTATTATTGACATTTTAAACTACATATAATTTACTTTGCTAAAAATAAAGCTGTTTTTAAAATGTGAAAAAAATACATCTAATTATCCTTTTAAAATTTTTATTTTGAAAAACTGATAGATTTATTTTCAGCTTTCAAAGTTTTTATTATTGGACTAATTTTTAAAGTTTCTAAATATTATTTCACTTAGAAATAATTAACATTTTTTATTCGAGGGGAAGGAAGGGGGCAGATATGTTTTTTATTTTATACTACCTAGTTAGATAATGAAAATGTTGAAGACAAAAAACACATGCTACCACATGAAATTATTTAGCCATCATGCTTAAGAGATTTAATTAGCATGGATAAATTTTGTTTTCTAATTAGATGAGTTATCATTACAAAATTATCTCTTCTCATCAGAACCTAATAGCATATACTATGAATTTTTCCTTAGACCCACCCAATTTTACATTTTACAATGTAATCTTTTTTTTAACATTTATAAATTCAGTTTGAAATTATAACTTGCTAATTTATTACATAATTTTAATATAGGTGACTGACTTTACCAGTACCCCCATTTACAGCATCACCCTTTTTAATTTGGAAAACAAGAATATAAAACATTGAAATCAAATTCTATAGTACCCATTCTCATTGTGTGTTTAAACAGATAGAAAATTGCATAAAATGTTTGTGGCTAGTAACAAATTGAATAAAATTGTAGTTCTAATTACTGGATAACAGAACTTCCTTTTTTCCCTTTAATTTCCTTTTGTATCACAACAGGTAAAAAAGCATCAGAACTTCTTTGCGTATATTTATGCACATACATCTGAAAAGAATCTGTACTTGGAATTTTTAATGATTAGTCTAAAAGAATGCTTACTGCCTCTACTAGGTATTTAGTTTTTAAAATAAATTTAGCTCAGGTTCCTTGAAAACCAAGGGAAAACAATGTTGTCTGTCAAATAGTTTGAATTCCCAAACTCTCATTTTTTCATCATACTAATATTTTAACAGATCACTGTTATTGAGGATACATGTTTAGTAACACATATTAGGAAATGACATGTTCCACTTAGGAATAGCCTAAGTGGAATGGCTATGAATGGTAAAGTCTACATGCCTCATAGATACTCTGGATTTTTTTTTTTTATAAAAAGAATAATAAACTTTTATAAAAAGACTTTGTCCCCTTTGAGCACTACTTCATACTTTCTCAGTGTTGTAGATAAGTAACAAAAAGAGCATTCTCTGTAAAAATAATATTTATGTTCTGTGCTTGTGTGTTTTCATTTCTAGGCAAGAGTTTGTTGATGCTTATGTGGACTATATATTCAATAAATCAGTGGCTTCCTTATTTGATGCTTTTCATGCGGGCTTTCATAAGGTCTGTGGAGGAAAAGTCCTTCAGCTCTTCCAGCCTAATGAACTACAAGCAATGGTTATTGGAAATACAAATTATGATTGGAAGGAACTGGAAAAGGTAGGGGAAAACATCTATGATGTTAACTAAATGGAAAGGAAAAAAGAAAAAACATGGTTTATTGAAGGAAATCTTGCCCTCTTGTTTTCTGTTTTATATTATTTATTACTGTCATTGAATAGGAAAACACTGTACCCTTCTTACTCCACAGTGAATTAATTTAATTATGTGCAAATTAGGGATACCTTTTTCTACTTGTCATAAAGTGGTGTCATATGGAAAAATGTCATTTATGCCAGCAGTGGGATAGAAGCCCCAACTAAAATTGAACAGGTTTTCATTCTGCCTGAATCCTAGAAAACCATTAAGAAAAAACACTCAGAGTGAAGATCTTTTTTTTTTTTTGATTAGGCTTAATGTTAAATTTTTTTAGCAGAGAATAAATAGCACTCGTGATTTTCATTGACTGGTGCCTTAGCTAAAAAAGGAAACTTTAGGGAAGAGACTAAGAATTTTTGAAAGAACCTTTCTCTCTTTCTCCATACAAGTAATTCTCAGATATTTCTTCAGATGTTAAACGAAAGATGCTAGTTTTTGATCAGCTTTGAGAGAGATATGCATAGTTGGGCTATAATTTTTTGTCTTTCTAATCTAGCAACCTTTGATATAATTATTGCATTAATAGTTTCATAGTCTGAACCTGTTAATAGCTAACATAAAATAATAAGTCAAACTAAGATAATAAACACATTGGAAACAATTTGGTATTTTTAAATAAAATTAATCATATACTTGCTATAATACTAAGCAGTTCTAGGTATTGTTATGTTTACACAAAAATCTGTAAACAAGGGGAAAATGGGAAGTTATTTAATGGGTAGAGAGTTCAGTTTTGCAAGATGAAAAAAGTGCTGGAGTTGGATAGTGGTGATGGTTGTACAATCTTAGGAATGTACTTAATGCCACCAACCTGTATACTTAAAAGGGATTAAAGTGGTAAACTTTGTTAAGTATATTTTACCACAGCTTATTTTAAATTATTTTTAAAAATCTGCAAATGAGTCAAGAACTGGGAACCACCTAGATGTCCTCGAGTGGATGAGTGGACAAATCAGTGTGGTATATATATGAAGTAGACAGCTACTGAGCAAAAATTAGGAATGCATTATTGATACATGCAACAACTAAAGAATCTAAGAAGAGAAGCCAGTCTCAAAAGATATGGTCTTTGCCTTCTAGTACGAAAGTTTAGTGAATGGTATCTACATAGGCTGCACAAATCTGGGAAAGCTTCTCACTAGAGGGTATTCGCACAAGTTAAGTAAGGACTTGGTTCACTGCATTTTCTTTAAAGCCTCAAACTTTGACTACAACTCCTGTTGAATGGATCAAAAAGTGAGTTAGCTGATGTTTAATTTTAGCCCAAAAGGGTAAGTAGAAATTTCCTGATGAACAGAGAAGGAGGTGGCTTAAGTGGTCTAAGGTGAGGGAATAATATGTGCATAGAACCTGATACTAGAAGATTCTTGCTAAGAACTAAAAGATAAAGTCAACTGTGGCTGAATTTTAAAGAACATTTTACAGTTCTTCTCTCCACCTGTTCCTCATAGTGCTAATATTTTTAAAAGGGAAAGTATACTTAGTTCTGTTGCTGCAGATTACCCCAAACATTACTGGCTTAAAAACAATGAATCTTTATCTTCTTACAGTTTCTGTGAGAATTCAAGAATGACTGGGTGTATTTAGTTCAGTTGTCTATCATGAGATTGCAATTAAGATACTGACTGATGCTTTGGTAATCTGAAGACTTAAGAATAGTTTCCCTTCCAAGGTGGCTCACTCACATAGCTGTTGTCTAAAAGGCCACATTGTCTAACTTGAGGACTTCTGTATAGGGTACCTTGAGTATCTCATAAAATTGCAATTGGCTCCCTTCTCCCCCCGGAATAATGATCAAAGGTTGAAGCCACAGAATTTAATGATGTAGCTTCGGATGTTAGTATTTCTCACATCTGCAATATCCTAATGATTACACAGGTCAGGCCTCTTTGTTGTGGGAGGGAACTGCAACAAGGGTATGGTTAGCAGGGAGAGAGATCAATGGGTGTCATCTTGGAAACTGACTAGCACAGGAAATTATTAGTGTTGCTCTTACTACCATTTTTTTTAAAGGGGAGGATAGAATGTAAAATAATTGGCTTGACTTCTGTTCATGAATATAGGAAATGATATAATCACAGATAATTTCATGTTGAACTTTTAGTCATCTAACATTTTAGTAATTTGTTTATCCTTTAGATATTTACTTTTGAAGATAAGACAATCCTGTCATGTTCTTTGAAGTGGTGGGGAGGCATTTCTGCTGATGTGTACATATTTTTTTCCTTTTCCCATAGAACCAATAGTTCAAAATTGCAAAATGTCCAGGAAAAGATAGGTAATCAACTGAATCTCATTAGTCTCAAACTCCTGGGCAATAATGTGCTAAGGAAGCCAATTTATCAAATTCAAGACATAACTAATACCCTTTCATATTAATAAAAGGTTATGTTGTTTTTAGAATACAGAATACAAAGGGGAGTATTGGGCAGAACATCCTACAATTAAAATGTTTTGGGAAGTATTTCATGAATTACCATTGGAAAAGAAGAAACAATTTCTGTGTAAGTATTTCCAACTAGTTGTTTTATAATAATGGAATCTAATAAACTTATTCTCATGGATATTGATTCACTTTGGTAGATAAGGTTTTTTGAAATTATTTTTTATTATTCTAAGATCCTGTTTCTAATTTTCAATTAGAATAGTTTTTTAAGTCTGCACTTTATTATATGTATTTTATTTTGAAAGCTAAATCCAGTCTAAATAGAATTGGCCCTTATGAAAACAACCTATATACTGATTATAGTATACTAGGGTTAATTTCTTTCACAATTTCTAAAAAGTGTTCTGGTGCACAGGTCTGTGTTCATTAATTTTCTTTTCTCTTTTTTTTTTTTTAAGATTTATTTATTTATGCATACAAAAACTGGGGTACAGGCCAGAGGTGTGGGGGGGTGAGAGGATTCACCAGAGACAGAATAGGGAACAGAACAGATTGATTGACTGAAATAAACAGCTGAGAGGAGCAGAGGGGCGAATCAGGAAAGGTCTGCTCACCATGTGGGTTGCTCCCTGGCCGTGGTTCGAACTCTTGCTGCAATGGCTGTGGATAGCTTCATAGGTTTCATCTTTATTAACCCCTTGCACCACCAGGGAGCCCAAAAACTGGAAATTTTTATAGAAAATAGAATTTTTCTTTTTTAAGCCTTAGTTCTTTTATTCATAACCTGCTCCGTGTTTTTCATTTGTTAAAATCTGCATTCTAATTGCAGTTCTACTCCTGCGATTATCAAGAATAACTTTGTCAGTCATATTTTGAAAATTAATACATGAATCCTTCACATACAATGAGTACCAGTCGTTCTTTGAAAGTGATTTGAGTTTTTGGCTGCCCATTTTAGCTTCTCATTTAAAAATGATAAACATTCCTGATATTTAGTGTTGTAAACTTCAGCTTAAAAAAAATAATAGAAATCAATAGAACAAAGAATCAAAACTGTATTTTGTATTTATGAACTAGATGTAAACAACTAGTCAAATGTTTTTGTTGGAGACCATAAAACATTTATTAAGCATTTGTCATATACACACTACTAAGATTATACTTTTTAAAAAAAAAATTGAAATAAAAAAGACAATTTAATTAAAAACAAGAATGAAATATTGTTACATTAAAGGTTTAATTTAATATCCAGCAGTTTGGAATATGACCATTTTGGGCTGTGTAATCAGATTTTTTTTTTAAAGATTTATTTATTTATACAAGCACTGGGTACAGTCAGAAGTGTGGGAGGGTGAGAGAATTCACCAGAGCCAGAGCAGGGAACAGAACAGGCAGACTGATGAAATACACTGCTAAGGGGAGCAGTGGGTGCAGCAGAGGTCTGTCGTGCCATGTGGGACCCTCGCCTGCGTTCGGGGATGGAACCAGCGCTGCAGTCTGCGGGCAGCTTCGCAGCCCAGTGCTCAACCGCTGCGCCACCAGGGGAGGCCCGTAATCAGATTTTTTTTTTTAATTTTATTTTTATATTCCCTATACAATTGCAACCCCCTGATTTTGACCCCATTCCCTCCTTTCCCGCCCCCCCGCCCCCCAAAGTGTGTCTCTGGTTCATAGTTGTTTGTTGATTTTGAGTCTTTTCTTTCTTATAGTTATTCTTTTTCCTGGTAATCAGATTCTTAATTCAGCTAAGAATCAGTAATTTGACCACCCAATCCCTGCAGTGCTGGTAATCAATACAAATGGTGCTTTTTTCCTGCATCGCCACTCTTTTAAAGAAAAACGAATGGTGTGGATGTGTAATTAGTGTCTCAAAAATCATGCCTCCACAAATTCTGGAGATAAGCTTCTACATTAGAACAAATGTTATTACAAAGCTTTGTTGTAGTGACTGTACTAAATTACTTCGAACTCTGTATTGTTATTTTGAGGCATGGTTGGCTGAATGATTTTTTTCTTGGCAGTATTTTTAACAGGTAGTGATCGCATCCCTATTCTTGGTATGAAGAGTCTAAAACTAGTCATCCAGTCTACTGGAGGTGGTGAGGAATATCTCCCAGTTTCCCATACCTGTTTTAATCTTCTGGATCTTCCAAAGTATACAGAAAAAGAAACACTACGATCTAAACTGATCCAAGCTATTGATCACAATGAAGGCTTCAGTTTAATATAACTTTGGAGTTATAACTATTCAGGTTACTGCAAAAGCATTAAAAGAGTTTTTGTGTTTTTCTTGTGATGAATTCAGCAAGGTAACAGAGGTAACTACTATAATTCTTACTTGCAAAATGTTCAGTGCTATGAGTTTTCATGAAAACCAAAAAAATTAAAGGAAATTGAACTGTTAAAATTAAACTTATTGTACAGAACCATGGTTTTTTTTCTTTTGTCATCTTCCAATAAATATACAAGTATTGTGAATACATTCAAGTTTTACTAACATGAATTTTAAGAGTTTGCTTATTTCACAAATGATATGGTGAGTGCATGGAACTGTTGCTTACTTTTCCTTTTTCAATCACGGGGGAAAGCCTTTAAACTTTGGCCTGCAAGTCATTTATTTTTTTCATTTTGTAAATAGTGTTAAGTTTTGTAATAAAATAGTTATGTTCTGATACCAGTACAGTTTCTATGGTTGTAATTGAGTTAAACTAACATTTAAGGGTTAAAAGTTATTTAAATCTTACTCTCAAACAATATGAGCAAAAAATTATCACAGTGAGAATGTCTTCACTTTTTTGCTAGACTGAATGTCCTTGTACAAATCTATATTATGGATAGAAGTTATCTAAGTAACAGCCCTCTTTTCTCTTTTGTGAATCTTGAGATGCTGCTAAGTAGAAGAGCTTAATATTTAGTAATGTAAGAACTTTGTTCTACAGTTGCCAGGAATAGAAACATTAGCTACTATGAGAATCAGTCTTTGAGTTACAGCTATTGATGCTACAGGTTGGTATTTAATAAGTTTTCAATGATATAGAAAATATTCCCTTAGTTGTGTCATTAAATTTGAGTTAATGCAGCACATGTGACTTTCTGCTATAATGCAAATATTTATTTTTCAAATGTTTAAATAATAAAGATTTATTGGTTTAATATTTAAACTTTCAGTGGTTCTCATGAGATTTGAAATTCTTCAAAAATAATGTCAGGGAAGATCTCTTAAATTTTGGATTGTTACCATTCCCACACAAATTTGTCTGTTTTATAGAGGTCCCACGTCTCTTATTTGTAATTCCAAAATTCACAACTCTGAAAAAGAAATATTGTGTATCTCTTTTGCAGCAATCTCATCAGAAACATTGAGGCTGTTTTGTGGCATTAAGTGGAACTCTGGGCATACTTCATTTCATTGCATTTTGCAGATGTTGCCATTTTACAAATTGAGGCTTGTGGCAACCCTGCATTAAGCAAGTCTGCCTGCACCATTTTTCCAACAGCTCAGATAATGACTAGCATTTTCTGATAAAGCATTTTAAAATTATGTACATTTTTAGATACACTGTTGCACACTTTATAGGTTATAGTATAAACAAGCTTTTATATGCGTGGAAAACCAAATATTTTGCGGCTTGCTTTTTGTTTCATTATAATATTTATGTGATGGTCTAGAACTGAACACATAGTCATCTCTGAGGTATATCTGTATTTGCACATTTTACTATGGCAATATTAATGTGTTTGATTACTTACTGTATTTACTTAGATGCTGCCTCAGTCCCCAGTGGGATCCTAATAATACGTGCCTTAGAAAGTTCTGTTAATATTCTTTAATTCCAAAATGCAGATGACCTGATGGGTTCTGAATAACAGTCTATGGACCTCTACTTTTCAGTAGTTTTAAACTTCTGGTGAGCCGTATCTCTTTATTATAGATAAAGTCCTAAAACAAATTCTCACCGGGGTTGAGAATTTTCCTCAAAGTAGCCTCCTTACCTATGAAAATTATTCCATGTACCTAATACTATACCATTTCCCTGTGCATCCATTCCTGGAGGGTAATGATTGTTTACATGGAAAATTTGTAGATATTTGTGTGTCAGATGCTTTTTTTCTTTAGTACCCTCTGTATGCTATGAAGCTGATCTGTGAAACAGCAGCCACATGGACTAATACAGATGGATTTCACTGACCAGCTATCTAAAGGACCTACCATCTTATCTGGGAGCTCACAAAGCACACAATAGAAGGCTCACTTTGGGTAAGTCTGGTATTCCTTCCCTCCCTTTGTTGCTGTAGAGATACAGTGGGCATTAAATAAGGAGACTCATGGTAGAAAATTAAAGTACCAATGAACACTTTTTCAAATTGCCATTTGCTTTAACGAGAAAAGTCTTGAGACTATTGTAGCTCAGAGTGGAAAGCTGGTTAAAAAAGAGTTCACTAAACTTGAAAGATATTTGATCTCCAGAGATTTAAGAGTTACTGTGTTTGTAGTTTCTTAATTTGGTAGAAGCCATTGTTCAGACTGGCTGAGAAGGCAGAAGAATCAAGACGTGCATTTATATGCTGGCATGAAATTAGAAATTTTTAAAAGGGTTGACTTCTAAGAGATCTTTGGCCCCCTTACAATTTTCGCTGTGTTTAGTTTAACAAAAAGTTCTAAATGTGCACAGGACAGCATAGGGAGCCCACTAAAGGCAAGGACAATTACTCCCATTCTGTCTCTTACTACTCACCAAAAGCATCTTTTTGCACTTGGACCATCCAAACCTCTTTCTTAAGGTACTTCTGTCCCTTGGCGAAGAATTCACCATTTTAGTAGCTTCCCACTCTTGTCCAGTGTTTACCTTTAAGCCAAAACTTCTACTAGAGATAGTCTGCTTGCTTTGAGTAAATATACTTTTCCAGCTAAGCTATCTTCTGGAAATGGAATGTTAAAAGTGATTTCCCTTTTCAATCCTTGATAGACCCTTGAATGGGGTGAGGTGAGGTGCTTTTTAAACTCTGCACAAGTTCCACTTTATGCCAGTTAAATATCAATCACTGAGAGGTGATGTTCTTGGTTATACACTTTCAAGTTTGCCAGGTGACTTTTGACAGTCCCAGTTGAGTGCCTCTCATTTTCTGGTATTTCTATTAACTTCCTAAGGTTTAGAGTAACTTTAGATCTTTGGGTTTGGTATATGTATCAGCAAATCACAAATCTAGAAGTAGACTTGTTTGAAACAAAACTTTCCTAAGCATAGTAGGTGATGAAAAACACTTTTATGTACTACTAAGAAAAATGCTAGCTATATGTTGAGGGCATGTGTCACAATCATTGAAATGTAAAATATGGAGCAAGCCTTAACCAAGGGGAATGAGACTGCATTGCATAACAGAGCTTTAAATTAAATCTTGTTAAGTACGTAATTTAACTAAGTGATTACATACCTCCCCCTTTACAGGCATGGACTCTGCCTTATCCATCTTGTGCATAAACGGGAAAAGTTTCTTATTTTTATAACATCTGAGGATGGCATTTTATGGATACTTTTTCTAGTGCTAACAGGATATATCAGGGTAGAGCATTTTTTAAAAATACAAACTTCAAAAGTTTGGTGGGGAAGTAGGCAGGAGAGTAGGAAACTGCCAGTTGAAGATTCTCTTTATTTATTACTGTACACATACTTTGTAAAGGTCATGTCCCTGGCTTTTTGAATAGTACTTTGTGTCTCTTCCATATCAGTCTCAAAAAGTTCATACCAAGTGTGGTCTATAGTCATTTTTGTCCACCCCTTCTCATTTTAAAGACTTGGAAGATCTAGTACCAGGTGATTAAATTTCCTAGCTAGCCTGGCTTTTTCTTCTAGCACTGGGCAACTTGAATCACTGAATTTCCACCATTTCCTACTGATCCCCCAAAGTCTGTCAAATTCTTCCTTTCCCCTACATTTTACCTGCTAATGCCCTTGGCCTAACCTAAATTGGTTGGAATACTAGTCTTGAAACTTTTGGTGATGAACCAACTTATACAACCAGTACTATCAGTGTTTTGCATAAGTACCATTCTTTTTAGACTGTTCAAAAGTGAATGAAGAAATGTTTAAGTATATAATACAGCCCTCAAAGCTGTATGAATTAAAAAAATTTTATACTTTAAAACAATGTAAGTTAACAGAAAAAAGTCAAATGACATTTTAATAGACTTTGAAACAGTGTACAAGTATAAAACACTGGTTTTGTATTTCAAAAGTTGGAAGATATCCAGTCATTAAACAGTCTACAAAACATATGCCAGTAGATTACATAAAAGACTATGTACAATATAAAAAGAGCTGAAAACAGTCCTCACTGTAAAAATAATTTAAAACAAATTTTTCAATTTAAAATATCATCTATAGCACAAACACACATCATGCAAATGGAAAGCTAAATATACTGCATTCTTTAGTGTAGCCAAATAAAGTCAAACGGCAACATCTTTTTAGGTAGGGAAATAGCCAATAAAATTTTTTTCCCTGGCAATAATGGTCCTAGCTTGGTATCTTATGCTTAAAGAACAGCTGTAATTCAAACCTCTTACAAACTGTAATAAATACTAAAGCAACAAAGGAATACTTTCTAATTTGGTAGTAATGTTGGGAAAAGGTCAGAAGGTAAATGCTTATTGTGCAATTTTATAAAGTATGAACTTTCTTGAAAGACTAGAAGCTTCTGCAGCTGAGAAAGTTGAATTCTAGATTTAAGGCAGGCTAAGCTTTTAAATAAAGACACGTTGTAGGAATTAGTCTCATTAACTATTCTGCTATTACAAGTTTACATCATGTTCATCTCCACAATGCTAGTAAAGTTTGGTATTATTATACCAAAATCTCCTGTACTTACTGAGTTATAATTAACATCTTTTTACTTTGGAACCATAATCAGGGGGCTGTTGCTATCCTTGTTAGTGGAAAACAAAAAAGCAACAGTCCAAAATATTACATTCTCCCCAGTACCATTATTATAAATTCATGAAGGCTTTTGCATATTCACATCTTGGCAGTTTAAACGTGTGGGTGGGAAAGAATCGATGCACGCTCTACCACAGTGATAGGTATTTAAACGACAATGGCAAATATTCTCAAAACTAAGGGTACCCAGGCAGGCACTATTGTTTCTAAAGCAATTAAAACATTTCCAAAGCATTTGTTTTTCAGGTTAGTTTTATGAGCCAATATAGTCATTACTGCATGTCCACGGGAAGTACAAAAGCCATCTTCATTGAACAATACAATATTCCTGAAACTCTTAGCACCAAGTCTTACTTTAAAAAGCAAAGACAACTGAGTGCTCTCCCTTCTTCCTACTGTTGACTTCCTTCTACACACATAGCATGTCATGAGATTTTTAAAAAGTTAGCTGCCACAAGTTTTGGAAAATGCCAGTGCTTAAAAGTAGGTAATTGTGCTAAATAATCAGAAGTTTAGCAGAACAGAGATTGGAGGATTTCAAACCATTCAATGTTACAAAGAAAAGTGTGACAAATACCATTCTTTGGTCTAGATAAGCTGTTCCCTTTACATTAATTTAACATTCCAATGGCTTTTTGAAAACTTTAAAATGGTGAAACTCACTAGGCAAAATTATATATACATATGAATGTATTATACAAATGAACTTTTGAAAGTCTTGACCAACAGCTGATTAAAGATACTTAGTACCTTTCTTTAAAAAAGTTAGTGTTGCGTGTACAAGTACAGAATAAGTAAGTTAAAAATTACCCATGAAAACAATCTAAGTTCACCAGTCTATAAATATTACACCTTTCTGATTTCCTCCCTCTATTGAGTTCACAAGTAAACATTCATTTTGACATGCTAAAGGTCCTAATGCTGGTGGGAAAATTCCTGTACCTGGACAATTACATTATGATTTGTTTGATGGATAGTTAACGTCTGTTGGTTCCTGTTTCATGGATATAGCTTCATTGACTGCCTCTTGATCACCTCCATTAGCTCCAAATCCAGTTCCTCCAGCTCTCTCATTAACATCAGCATCATCTTCCAAACCATTGTAAAATTCTTCAGTCTCACTTTCATCCTCCATGGGTTCTTCTAAACTTGGACTCTGGCATGTTCCACTATCACTGTTACTGCCACAAGAACTAGAGGATAAGACGTCATCTTCAGAGTCTGAATATACC